ATGCATTACGCCGCGCCCCCCCCCATAGTCTTTATATCATCCAAGGACAGGATTACCCTTCAGATTCGGCCTCGCCGAAAACCTCGTCCCCTTCATCCACTGTTCCGGACTCCACAGACGCAGAGACGTTTCCGGTGGAGGTGGTGACCATCGGGACGGACTGGGAGGCGTGGTCAGACGTGTCGGCGGCGGGACTCTCCGTAAAGACAGAAACTGGAAGAAGGAAAAGAACAAAATGTTCAACAACATGTATAATAAACCGAGCTCTGCGGTCCAATATGTTCCCTCCATGAAAGGCAGTGAAATTATCCCACATTTAAACCCAAAAACAAAAATATATATTGCAGAGTTCCGGTCCTTAGAGGCGGCCGCTGCATTCTTTGTTTCCAGGTCAAGTACATTTTATGCACCTACAGAAAAATATCCGCTGATCCTAAAAAAATCCAATGTTCTTCCTGCGTACTCATCTGGGACCAGGAACAGTGTTATCAGCCTTCTTGGCCATCTTTCGTGAACTACAAAACACCCCCCTTCAACATATTCAAAACAGGTGCTTAAATAAAAAAATCAGGAGAGCAGTTTAAGGTGACCACTCTGCCTCTCTATAAAGTACAGCGAGTAAGTGTTGTCACCCTAGATCAGAAAGTCTTGTTACTGGCAGGATCACCAGATGACTGCAATACATTAGGATTTTTGGAAATCTAGGGAGTCTATCGAAGGAAACAGGAGAGCTTTAACCTTCTGGTTATACTGCCGTCTACAGGAGGATTGGACACTTGCAAACAACAACAAAATGTAGGCCGCCGCATGAGAACACAGCATGCCTCCATTTTTTAAGCAAAGCAGTACCGAGAACATTATAAAAGAGGAGTGGGACCTGTGGCGAGTCAACGGGCTCTAAGAAAAGGATTTGGTTGTGAAGTACGAAAAGCTGATCTTGCTTCTCATGCACAGACAGGGACAGAGCAAGTGCTTCAACTTCAGGACGTCCAGAAGAAGTCAGACCGGAAGGAGGGGCAACACGGAAACCGCTAACCAAGAAATCTGGGGACTGTGTGCAGCTCAAAAGGGCCGTCTGAAGGACCGTGCACCCAAAATTGGCTTTAGATGAGGGGTGCAATGTCCACCTAGTAGAACATGGAGAACATGACGACAGAAGACCAGGCAGCAGCCTTGCCAGAACCACTCAGAGACCTGGTCATTGAAAAAAACCACAATATATAGAAGAGTGCGACTACCCAGAATAATGCGCAGCCTATTAGCTGAATGGTTGAAGCGGCAGAAGTGTGACTTACAGTTAGGAAGTCGTCGGCGGGCACCCGAAGTCCGCGCACTCACGTGGGGATGACGAAGATGGTCTATATACTGGCGATCTGGAGTGTCCGGGGCGTCCCCAGGGTATCCCCAGGGAACCGCGTCCTCGGCTGGCCAGGCCGAGCCGCGGCAGCTGGAGCAGAGAACGAAGACTATGCCCGGCAGTTGGGTCCTGCACTGGAGAGTGTGGATCTGTGTGGCGTGCAGCGCGAATGCTGGGGAGTCGAAACGCAATATTTAAGTCGGTGCTCGTGGCCCAGGTACGCTGTAAGGCTTGACAAAGAGGGTTACCCTCGAAACGCGTAGCCGCTACTCCAACCCATAGGGGTGTCTCACCCTGCAGTACATCTCACCTGGACCACGAGCACCGACCTAAATATTGCGTTTCGACTCCCCAGCATTCGCGCTGCGCACCGCACAGATCCACACACTCTCTCTGCCGGGCATAGTCTTCGTTCTCTGCTCCAGCTGCCGCGGCTCGGCCTGGCCAGCCGAGGACGCGGTTCCCTGGGGATACCCTGGGGACGCCCCGGACACTCCAGATCGCCAGTATATAGACCATCTTTCGTCATCCCCACGTGAGTGCGCGGACTTCGGATGCCCGCCGATGACTTCCTAACTGTAAAGGCCGTGACACACTGCACGCGAAGCAGCGCGGAGCGGTGGCGCGCTGCCTTTGCGAGCAGTGTGTCATGTGATTTTCTGCTCGGCAGCTCAGCTGGCGAGAGCTCGCGGAGCTGAGCGTGCCGAGATGAACAATTTCAACTTCAGCCAATCGGCTCGCGCGTATAAACCGGCGCGACGGGATGCGACGTCTGGCCGGTTGTTACAGACGAGCCGATTGGCTGAAGGTGCAGTCAATCATCTGACTGCACTCAGCTCACACACTGCACGCGAAGCTCCGTGCCGGAGAGCTTTGCTTCGCTCTGCGCGGCTTTGCGTGCAGTGTGTCACGGCCTTAAGTCACACTTCTGCCGCTTCAACCATTCAGCTAATAGGCTGCGCATTATTCATTCATTCGAGCATTTCTGGGTGGTCACACTCTTCTATATATTGTTTTTTTTTTCAATGTATTGCGTGGGGTTCCTCTCCCGGTCGTTTGAAGAGTTTATGCACACCTGATCTCACACAGCCAACCAGTGAGAGATTTGTCCACATCACAGTGGTGCGCTTTACATATTTTTTGTTCCAGAGACCTGGTAACGTTCACCGTGACAGGAAAAGAGGGAACCCGATCCCCAAGATCATAAGCTTAGTTGATGGTCTGTCCGAGCCACCTGGGGATCCTGGAACTAGAAGCTGACGCACCCTGAAGGGGACCGTCCGGCCTTGCAAAATGGGAATCCGTCTTTCTAAAGAACTGAATCTGGGGCATGCTGGAAGTAGGCGGGGGTTATCCTCGGCCGGCCTGCAGTTTTTTGTTTTCGTTTGCCAGTGTCCAATCCTCCGGTAGGTGGCAGTATAACCCGGATAGACAAGCCTTCCTGTGTCCCTCAAAGGACCAGAAGGAAATCACATTTTTGTTTTCGGCTTTAAAAAAAAAAAAACTTTATTCAAACAATGGCAAAGCAAATTTGCATTCTCAATAAGATTTTTAGCGCTGTTGTACCTGGTGCTGCAACCTGAAGCGGTGTCGTTGGAACACTGCGGCCACCTGACTCTTCTTCGTGAGCAAGGAATAGAGGCGTTTCATACATTCCTAAGCCTACAAATATGATCATGTAAGTTGGCAAGCAAGGGAAGTTATTCCTTACAGTTACAACAATGCTAAAAAAAAAAAACACTATCAGTGGTATCCGCTTCAGCTGCGGCGTCTCAGTATACCGCGAGCTACAGCTCCCTATATACTGAGCCTAGGGTGACGGGAGGACTCCAGTTTGTGTCCTCCCGTTACCCTATGGAGAACTATGGGGAAAGCCCTAACCCCATAGTTCTTCTTTAAATCATATTTACCGCTCACAGCCAGAAGCTTCCGAGTTGTGGGTAACAGCCATCAGCTTTTCTATAATCTGGTTTACTATTGTGTGGTGAAGGGCCTGCACAGTCCATGTACCACCAATTTATCTGCAACCAGTAAATCTTACACTTCCTGCTGATCAGAGAGTTCTAGTTTTGACTGATAAGTTGGGTGCGCCAGACCCCTGCACAGAGCGCGAGGGTCTTCCTCTGCAGCATGCTGGCAGGGGACAGTCTAACTTGCTCAGGCTGTAGCTGTTCTTTTTAAAGAAAATGAACTACAAGACTCTGCACACCTTTCGCTTTGATACACCTGAAATGTATTTAGCAAATTTAAAAAAACTCTGTTCAGCTTTAAAATACGAACTTAGGGCTTGTTCACACCATATGCAGTGCGTTCCGGCCACGTTCTGCATCGCATTGCGGCCGGCTCAGTATTTCGTTGGGCCGGAGGGGGCGTGGCTGGCCATTGAAGTGGATGGCATCGCAGCCACGCCCTCCGGCGGCAATGCGATCGCCCGCATGGGATCTCAAGGCACATTCAGGGGAATTTATCAAAACTGGTGCAGACAAAATCTGTATTAGCTGTGGACGGCAACCAATCACCATCTATCCTTCATTTTAAAATCTCAACTGAGCAAACTGAAGAGAGAAGCTGATTGGTTGCCATGGGCAACTGCTCCAGGTTTGATACATTCCCCCCCCATTGTGCTTGCGGTCCGGTGCGATCAAAAATAGTGCTAGTAGCATTTTGATCGCACCGGACCACAGGCACAATGTGCCCTACGATCCCGTGTGGGGGCGACCGCATTGCGTGGCTATGGTGCCATTCACTTCCAACGCGGCCAGCCACGCCCCCACGAAATACTGAGCCGGCCGCAATGCGATGCAGTGAGTTCCAGGCCAGAACGTGGCCGGAACGCACTGCATATGGTGTGAAAAGGCCCTTAAAGTAAACCTGTCAAGAGTGTGAGAGTTCAGGTAGGCAGGTGTCCCTGTCAAGTCCGGCCTTTTCAATTCAGACTCAGCACGGCATCCATACACAGCGCTCGACAAGAAAAGGCCACATCTGACTGGCTGTGCCTGAAGTTCAAAGGGAACTTATCTGCATACCAAGTTATTGATTCAAAGTGTTCAAGCCAGAGGGCCAACATGACAGGTCAATGACCAGAGGTCGCAACAGTACAGAGTGAAAAATAAAATGACGACACTTTCCACTTCTGGAGTTCAGACAAAAGTAATAAGGAAACGGCTCCATGTCTCACCTCCTTGGGAAGCCAGCTGGCCGAGGTCGGAGTGGCTAGAGCTAGCCTGAGGCATATCTTCTGGTGGCCCAAACCGAAAGCGAGGGACGCCTGCCACCTGTGGAGAGCTGAAAACACACACACACACCAATATAGTACCTGCTGCTGAATGAATGAACTATAGGCAAGCTAATTGTAACACACGATAAAGGAATTCCATGATAACAATCTACTCCCATGTGATCATCATTAATTCACATTCTGTTTCTCATTCATAGTTTAATCCTGGTGTTGTGCCACTTATGAGTCCTCCCAATCACTCATAACACAGCTGTGCAGTAATTCAGCATTTATCAACTTCTGCATATATTGCCTCTGTGCGGAAGCTTCCTGTAATAAAGTCCAATCACTGCTGCCCTCTCCTTGTGCAGGGTGACTGGTCTTGTCTCCGCCCCCTCCTGTAATAAAGACCAGTTACTGCTGCTTTCTCTCCTTGTGCAGGGTGAGTGGTCTCGCCTCCGCCCCCTCCTGTAATGAAGTCCAATCACTGCTGCTCTCTCTCCTTGTGCAGGGTGACTGGTCTTGTCTCCGCCCCCTCCTGTAATAAAGACCGGTCGCGGCTGCTCTCTCTCCTTTTGCAGGGTGACTGGTCTCGTCTCCGCCCCCTCCTGTAATGAAGTCCAATCACTGCTGCTCTTTCTCTCCTTGTGCAGGGTGACTGGTCTCGTCTCCGCCCCCCTGTAATAAAGACCGGTCATGCTGCTCTCTCTCTTTGTGAAGGGTGACTGGTCTCGTCTCCTCCCTCTCCTGTAATAAAGACCGGTCACTGCTCCTCTCTTTGTGCAGGGCGATTGGTCTTGTCTTCGCTCCCTCCTGTAAGATTGCTCATGTTGCTCTCTATCCTTGTGCAGGGTGACTGGTCTTGTCTCCGCCCCCTCCTGTAATAGAGACCGGTCACTGCTGCTCTCCCTCCTTGTGCAGGGTGACTGGTCTTGTATCTGCCCCCTACTTCTGAAGTTTTCTGCAGGTAACCAGAGTTCAGCTTAAATATATCATCTACATGTGCCCACACTGCAATAGGTGTGGCTCACTTTGTGTAATTTCATGCTGCTATTTCCATACACCCCCAGGAGTGTCAGGGGCCCCATGTTTGATGCAGCTGCTCCCCCCTCCCCTGACATCACTCATGCTCCTAGCATCAACCAAGCAAACCTTGCGTGATCTGCAAAAACCTTCTCTGAAGATTACATGAGATGATGATAGGGCCGGGGATGGGCAGCAATTGCGTCAGACAAACAACAGTAATTGCCAATTATATAAATCTCACTTATTAACAAACAGCGATTATGTTTCATCTTCAAAAATGTTTATAAAAAAAAAAGCCATAAGGAATTACAATAAATGATCCACTAAATAAAGGAGAACTTACTGAATCGCTTCTGCAAAGCCATCTGTTCGATGAGGGACAACAAGGGTTGGTGTGCTGGGCACTGTGCGGTCTTCGTCGTCAAAAAAGTGTTGCTGTTAATCAAGAAGTACGCGGATCTTATCAAACCAAAACATATCACTACATTGACCGTGGAGATACAGATCGAACAGATAACTTCTGCTTACCATGCCCCCCAAGCCGGGTGTAAGCTGCAGCCCACGTCCTACAGACTGTCTGCGGGCCATCTGAATTCGCTGCAAATTGACAAATGAAAAACATGTTCACAACGAAAATAAAACCATGCTACCCCAGGGTGGGCTCTGCGTCAGAATGCATGACCCCCATCACATCTGACCAGCAGGGAACAGGCTCATTTGAATGCTCAATTGAGCAAGGAAATGAAGGAAGCTGTGACGGGAGGACGCTAGTTTGTGTCCTCCCGTTACCCTAAGGAGAACTATGGGGAAGAGTCCTGACCCCATAGTTCTCCTTTAAGTGTGGTTGCTGGAAGGGGACACTACCCTCATACTGAAGCTGGAGCCTTGGCGTGCCTGAATACTTTTTTGGCAAAGGATGGGAACACTTAGAGTGGTGGGATGGTTCTCTCAAAACATGTTATGTCATCACTGCCTGGACAATAGAGAAGCAAGACGACTGGAAGAGAATGGCAGCAGTAGAGCAATGTGGGGGGGTGTGTAGGTCCCATCATTGGAAAGGGGGGGCACGTTAGGTGCTATACTGTGTACACTTGCACATTAAAACTGAAGTTTAATCTGCTTATAAACATTATAAAATGCCTTTCCTGGTTAAATTTACCAAATGATCTGATTTGTACAAGTGGGCAAATGACTTGTAGAGATGATCTGCACCTTCACCTTGGAGGATTTTACCATTTGGTCTCATGTGAATGTCGGTTTATGGCATTTACCAGATTAATAAACATGTTTGTTTTTTTCATTTTCATATAGAAAATGGTTGTTAGGACTTCTTGTGCGCTGTAATTTGAAGTCCCTCTGTACAATATATTGTTACTATGTTGGTTCTATGTTAATGGGGATGACAGCACCACAAGAATAGTATTAGTGGGTAATACCCCCCCATACCCTCCCTCTTACACAGATCTTTATTAACCTAGAGGTATGAGGGTTGCAGGTACCTGAACAGGTGGGCCAAGCTCTGAAGGTGGAGCAGGAATGGTCAAGCAGAGAGGCAGAGGGTGAGGTTGTCTACGAGGAGATTGTGGCGGCCGAGGACTTGGTCTATCTGAGGCAGATGAAGGCTGTTCCCGCGCTTCTTGTGCAAGCGTCGACTCTGTACTTCCCATACCCGGTTCAGCTGAATGATAAAAAGGAGTCGTTGAACATTTAAGAACATTTTAAATACAACCAGACACCTTGCACACAAAACCAATACTTTATATTGATGGGAAGCTAAGCAGCATGAACCTGAAGCCCACTCTCAGGTTTAGGACACTAGAAGGACAAGAGTTCTGCGGAGTCGGTCCAGTAAGAATTTTTTATGGCACAAAGTCATAAAACCCAATTGTGTGTTTCCCGAGTGTGATGCGAAAACTAAAAATCTTACTGAACTTATCAGAACTGAGCGACGTTCTCATCTAGCCAGCGTTCTACAGACTACTCCAGGGGCCCTTTGAGTTGGCACAGAGCCGCCTCCAAAAAGTTAGATTCTGACTCCTAATTGTGGTCCGCCCCCCCCCCCC